AGCCTTGTGTTATCGCTACTGTGTCAGTCCATCTCTTGGAGGATCCTCCTCTTTTTCTGACCTTCCACTGTACCAAGCATGATGTCCTTCTCCAGAGACTTTCTTTGGATCACCTGTCTGAAGTATATGCTCCAAGGAGCATCTGGCCGTACTTCTTCCAGGACACGTGGGCTGGGGTGTCGTTCTTTTGACAGCCCTTCTCCAGCACCGCAATTCAAGCGCACGGATTCTCTTCCAGTCTTCCTTATTCAGTGTCCAGCTTCCACATGCATCTGAGGTGATGGTGTTAGATGCACCCTAGTGCTCACGATGGACACCCTTACTCTTCAGCACTTTAGAGAGAACGTATGCGGTGATTCACCTAATGCAATGTGCTGATTGATTTCTTGACTGCTGCTTTCATGAGTACTGACAGGGTCCAAGCCAACTAAACTCCTTGATAACTTTAATCTTTTTTCTGTTTATCATGATGTTTGAACGATTGCCTCTTGGCCCATATAAGCACAATGAAATATTCTGGAATACCCCTTCTAAATACTATCCATAGTTTGTTATAATCCACTCAATTAAATGTCTTTGCATAATCAGTAAAATGCAAGAAAACATTTTCCTGGTATTATCTGCTTTCAGCCAAGATCCGTCTGCTGTCAGCAATTACATCCTTTGTTCGATGTCCTCTTCTGAATCCACCTTGGAATTCTAGCAGGTCCCTCATAAGGTACGGCTGCAACCATTGTGGAAGGATCTTCACAAAAGTATACTTTCATGTGATAATAATAGTTATAGTTCTATAATTCCTGCATTCTGCTGGATCACCTTTCTTTGGAATGGGCACACATATGGTGCAGGGGCAGCGAATTCTTTAATGTGGCTCTTCTAGCAAAAGTCTCTAACTCCCACCAAACGACCTTTTCCTAATGGTAAGAAGGTAGGGGGAGACACTGTGGTAATCTCATGAGTGAAGGGGTGGAGTTCTGCCCACCAATCAGGTTGCAGCTTGATTGGAGCAGCTACCGAGATTAGCGGCTCTCTTTCCTGTTGTCAAGCCACGGGGAGCCACACTGAGACCTGCAAGACCCTTGGAGATGCTTCCACTGCCACTGGATCCACAAGACTTTGCATCCACTGACCTGTGATCTTCCTGCATTTTGCATCATTGCATGTGCTGTGTGAGTCTGAAGACGGAATTATGGACTAGTATTGGACTTATGGGCTAATATTGGACTTAGGTACTTTATCTGGACTGGGCTGGGATTTTTTTCTTAATATATCATTACCCGTTGATATAAAGCTCTTTCATATATGAGATGAGTATCCTTGGCTTTGTTTCTCTAATCTACCAGGTCTAACACAGATACTGAGAGGATTCACCTGTGAGTAGTTGTGAACATGATTCTGCTGTTCTGTTGTGTATAAAATGAGCCCTCTGAGAAGCAAGTGGAGGGATCCCATTACCAGCAAGAGCCAGGAGTAGAGTATGTCTTCTGGACTCGAGATGTCCGTGTAGTGAACCTCCTGGCTTCAGAAAACAGCCGTAACATCAGAGAAGCTGCAGTTGAACCAAAAGCCAGAGTATGAAACCGAGTGATGGACTTCCCAATCACAGAGCAAGTAAAGCTGAGCCCTTCCGTGCAGGAGGCTGGCAAATGGAATGGGGTGCCTCTGTACCTTAATCAGGGAAGTTCGGCTTCAGGTGAATGCCAGCAGAGTGGTATGCCCCTTTGGACGTGTATCAGCAGACCCGAAAGAACTGTGTAACATGTTCTGATAGACAGCTGCCCTGAGCATTTCTCACTGGCATTAAAATGTGTTAACTTCTTTAATAAACCCTGGGTAGTCATTGAAATGGATATTAGAACCCAGAGAGGTAAAATAGAGAACAATAATTAAGACAACACATGCGGATCTTTCCAGTGGGTTGGTCAGGTAACTATTTTCCAAATTTCTTGCATAATATAGTGAGTACAACCAGCGCCGGCCAGTTTGTTGAAGTCTTTCCATTGAAGTTTTCTCAGTACCTGCAACCTGGTTTTTCACTGTTACCTTCAGTGTAGCTTGGACTTCTTCCTGTAGTA